GAGGTGTTGAAGAATGGAAACTAAGCAGAACTTTAAAACACAATTTATGGATGTTATCATTTAGTAGTATCTGGGAAGGATGCTTGAGACCAAATTAAACTAGGGTATAGATGATGTTAATTGGGATATTTGGCTGAACATTTGACTCTGTTTATATATAAAGCGAAAGATAATCTGTGTGCACGGAGTTTGAACTACAAATAAAAATTTTATCAACAGCACTTTAAATTCTGGTATTTATCAGTAGTAGCAGTGGATGGTCAGCTGTTTGTAAATCAAGGATCAAAAGCAAAGCAGTATTCTAACCAAAGAATAATTTGGAGAAAACTTCAGAAAGGTTGGCTGAATCAAAGCAGAAAGTATCAGGATATGTCATATATATGTTTTCTGAAAACAAATCTTATGATCTGTGAAAGAATAAAGTAAACATATAGACTGTGCTTACTGCTTTAACAGTATCAAGAATCAAGGAGTGGTCTTGGCATTTTTTCTTCCATACAGGAGCAAGATAAGTTACACAGTTTTCTTTTCGATTTTGATGCCTGATGATTTGAACACAGATTAAAGTTAACTTCCGCAAATAAAATTGATCAAAAGGATGATTTACTAACTGCTTATTAAGTGTGGTCAGGTTTTGACAAATTTATAAAGAGTGAAGATAGTTCTCTAGAAGAATATAGAATGGAATTCAGTTGGTTCATACAAGACAGCAAAAATTTCAGCTGGGAAGTCGTCAATTGTATTGGCAGTTTTGATGGGAAATTTGTGGAAGAGCACAAATTGCTTGAAAAATGTCACAATTTTTAAAAAAATCCTTGAAAAACATTCCCTTCTTGCTGTATTCATAGTGAAAATGGGACAATTAATCGTGACACAAATTGAAAATACAATGCTAACAGGCTAGCGAGATCGTCTAGATACAGGTTGCAGGAGGCGGTACAAAAGAACTTTTAACCAAAGGAAGTTAGATCACAAGTACTTTTACAATTTTGATAGTTTTGAGATGCAAGGAGAATTTATGATTTACAATATAAGACTGAACCCCAGAAGTGCCAGGGTGTGGCCAATTAATATTTTAGATGTGATTCAAAATGCCATTTTGCCATAAATTGTCCCAAAAGGTATTAGAGCTTTCGAAATGAAAATGAAATGGAAGATCTAGATGAAGAAGATGGAGAAATTGATCAAAGAGAGGGAATTACATTAGTCATAAGAAGTTTCAGGCATGTGAGCAATGTGTTGGTGGCAGAATCTTTCAATTGTACAATGTTAGATAATGGTACATGTTTACATTGATTAATAAGGATTGGAGCAAAGTTAAGGAATTGAGACTGCACCAGTTTCAGGTCGGGGGATGATAACACAACATCTTTGAAAACAGTAGTCATTGCTTGTAAAATAACTGGAATCAATTACTCTATTAGCACAGATGTAGTATTTGGTGAAATATCATTGTTATCAAGTAGGCCATCAATGAAGAAAGTGTAGCTGAAGCTGGATATGGCAAATGATAAATTGTGTCATTTTTCATATTGTGTTTGGGAAATCTGTGCAATTGCATTTTGCACAATTGGGATTCTATTTATTCCGTTGTTGGAACATATCCCCCTGACTAAAGAAATTAAAGCAGTGCCATTGATATCAAGGGAGAAGTTTAGAAGACAAAAAAATGAATTGTATTAAAACTACTTTGCCCATCTGTTGTCCAAAGTTTAGTAAAGGATGAAGAGTACACTAAACTGATACTAGAGATAAATGATAAATGTGAGATTTACAAGAAAAACTGAAGGACACTGTCCTGGCCAATAGTAACTCAAAACTGAGCAAGGAATTTCATTTAGGCACTACCTATAGATATAAAGGTGTGAGAGTTCATTTTGCCTTGTGTAGATTTGGCAATCAGATTTATTTAGTTATCAATAACAGATATAAAGTTGGGGTGGCATAGTGGCACAGTGGTTACCACTGCTACCTTACAGTGTTGGATACCTGAGTTCAATTCCGCCATCGGGCGATTGTCTGTCTGCCAGCTTGCACGTTCTCCCCATGTCTGCATGGGTTTCCTCCAAGTTTTCTCTCACAGTCCAAAAGATGTGCAGGTTAGGTGGATTAGCCGTGCTAAATTGCCCACAGTGTCCAGGGATGTGCAGGATAGGTGGTTTAGCCATGAGAAGTGCAGTGTTACAGGGATAGGGTAGGGGGTGCGATGCCTTTGGAAGGTCGGAATGGATTCAATGGGCCAAATAGCTTACTTCCACACAGTAGGGATTCTATGATCGTAAAGGAAAGGAAAATAATTGTGGCTAATATATTAGAAATGCGATTAGGGACTGGACTTGGAACACTTGCAAATTTTTTCACTCCTAATGGGGGAAATTTGCTGATGATGAATTTAGAGATTTGTGTGCAAACATTAACATTATCATTATGAATATGGCAATAGAAAGCCTTTCTAGTAATGGGGTGTGTGAAAGGAACCATTTGATATTAGATAAAATGGTTCATAAAATTTTGGCAGATCAATCAAACTGTAAAGCCTGGCTTTCCATGGCTAAGAATTTGCTGCAAATGGTGGGAAGATGTTCTCCACATCAGTTAATTTTCGATAGAAAGCCAAAAGTTCCATCAGCCATAAGTGATTAGTTGCAAGCTAGGAAAGGGAGCACAATTAGCTGTATCTTTTTGGATCATTTGAATGCATTGATACAAGCAGAAAGACTTTCATTGAAGCTGAAATCTTCTCAAGCCTTAAGACATAATGTAAGGCCATTGAAAACTAGTTTCAAATAGGGAGAAATGGTTTATTTTAAAGAGAGTGGCTTTGAGCTAGGCTAGTGGTATGAGATTTTGAAGAAAAACTGAGGACCAAGATACAAGTGTGCATTCATCTATGGCAGGAAAAGCGTTTTTGAAGATCTTCCTGGTTTACTATAAACAAACATTTCTGCAGGGGAATTAGCCAGCAATTCAGTCTTTCTGCACTGTCCAAAAGAGGAGACAAATTAACCAGGACACTCAGCATACATGGCCTACATGATGCTGCTGGAGTTTGGCGATTGTCAGTAAGGTCTGTCTTATTAGAAATGTCCATCTCCAGTTGAAAGAAGACCCTGCACTGTTTTACTGACACCATAGTGGGCAGCTATTGGGCTTCTTTATGATGCATGATTTATTTTGTGGCGTGGTAGCAGTGAATTTGAAAACCCTCATAAATTTGCTTAAAATTGGAAGCCATGCTTCATGGATTTAGGTATATTGGATTGGAAAACAAGCAAGATAGATCAAATATTGCTTTCCATACCAAGCATATTTGAAAAATAGCAAGCTCATTGCTGTTCCAAAGTAGGGCCTCACAAAAGACATGGCATTTCCAAACTAAAATGGAGGAATTGCCAAGTCTAATTGGTTGGCTGAATTGGCTGGTCACCAAATGAGGCCAGTGCAGTTTTGAGGTCTTATAATTGAGTATGTCTTGAAAAATCCCAAAATGGAAGATATTATTTTGGCAAAGGAAGCATTGAAAACATTTTAATTGGAGTCTTGTATTATGAAATTTCCACCATTAGAATATGTCAGAAACATAAAGCTTATTGATCTGGATATTTTGAAGAATGGCAGTCACAGTCAAATTGCCACTTCATTTCAGTTTTTGACATTATGACTGAGCTCCAAATTCCTGGCTAGCAGTTGCAATCTTGGCTCCTTCAGAATTATGGAATGTACCTAAAGGCCAACAGTTCCCTCGTACTTCAGGACAGTCAAGGGAAGTCAGACCACATTGGGAGAGGGAGGATAGGTTCAGGTCCAAAAGAGGTGGGGTGTCATCCAGGATGGTGTCAAATTGGGTTTTGCTGTCAGGCGGATAGGTGCAAAGGATATAGGTCAGATCTGGGGGTTCAAGGCCAGCAACAGTGGGATGTTGGTTCCTGGAGGAGTGTGGTTGGAATTGAGCTGGTTTGGCGTGGGGTTGGTTGGATGGATACTTGTCAGAGGTTGGGGAGTTGTAATGGGGCTGGGTGAATGATGGGTAGGGAGTCAGTATAATAGTGACGCAGGAGTCAGACTAGGTTTTTGGCCCTCTAAATTTTTCTAGGTGACTATTTGTGAAACTGGACCAGAATTATTTAACTTTAATGGATTTTTTTCGAAGGTTCAACATGCTGGGTAATTGTCCTTTGGAATTTTCAATTTCTGGGTAATACCCACTGCATTTATGATTCCTCATGGTTCCAATGATCACTTCCAGTCTGTGCTGCTGCAGTGACACTTGGACCATCAGAATATCTAGCCCATTGATTTTAGTGATACTAGTAACAAATCTCTGTGCTGGGTTCTCAAGTACCGGAGCATTTATACTACCCCTTCAGAATGTTGCCCTTTAACTTAGAAAAGTAAAACAAAAAATTAGAAGAGCAACACTCAGGAAGCTCGACACCAGCCAGGATAGAGCATTCAGACACTCTGCCATCACCATGTCATAGCTGTATTCACAAGATGTACTGCAACAACTCACCAGGGTTTCTTCAGCAGCACCTCCCCAGTCAGCATCTTTGACCTAAAATGAGAAAGGCAACAGGTGCTTGGGAATATCACAACCGCCAAGTTGTTTTATCATTTCTGGATCAATATCCTGACGTTTCCTGTCTGACAGCTGTGTAGGAGGACTTTAACATGGTCTGCATCAATTGAAAGAGGCTGCTCACCACCACCTTCTCAAGGAAGTTAGAGATGGGCAATAAATGTTTACTTTGTCAACAATACTCTCATCCTATGGAATAATAGAAAACAATTTCTTTTGGAAGAAGAACTGTGTGTCCATCGAGAGTTTGTTAGAAAATATGAAACCGAGATGAACATCTTAATTTAGCTTACAAATTGCTTTTAAAAGAGCAATTCACTCTAAATGGAGTTAGAAGTCATTAGTTAAATATTTATCATTATTAAAATATTTGAGTTTCTTTTGGAACATATCTCCTGATCACAGTATTCTTAATTTGTAGGTATTCTGTGCAGCACTGAAAATGGGAAGGAAAGATGCTGGTGCTTCTAAAATCCCAATTGATCACTACCGGAAACAAATAGGTATTATTTTAATTCTTTAAATATTGCATATTCCAGATTTTGAAATAACTATAAAAGTCTTAACTGCACCAGTTCTAGAGCAAATCATTATATTTTGCTGAAGGAATATTCCAAACATCTTTGTACGTTCATTTGAAAATTACACCAATTTATTTCACACATTATTTATCAAAGAGTTTAAACTTTAGACCTGACTCACATTTAGAAATAACCAATTTATGGTTTATGGGACAAAGTTTCCAATTTGGTGAGGTGGTGATGTAACAGTTTAATATCATTGGAGTCACCAATTTTACTTAAGCCAATTAAGCTTGCTCACTCGTCATCCTGTCCTTTTTGTTTTATATCAACTCCTTGTCCCCAAACCTATTACATTCTAAATCATCACTGTTCTCATTAAATCTCTCTCTTATCTCATTTCAGTGTTGTCCTGTAATCTGCCTTCTTGGCCAACAAGTCTTCTTGGCCTCAGACTTTGGTTCTTCAACTAACCTTTTGTGTCCAAAAGCAAAATACTGTTGGATGTTGGAAACTGAAATAAAAGCAGAAAAAATGCTATGAGCACTGTCTTCCCATAATCTCACAGTTCTTTTATTTTATCAACTGTAAAAGCCTTCTCAACTATTTGCTTTTTGTCAGTTCTACCACACACAAACTCCATTGATTAGCCTGTATTTCCTAATCTATTTATTTAGTACTTTTTCTCTCCCCTCTGTAAAGAGCTCTGAACATTCTCTGTGTTGAGATGAGAATATATCCTTTGTGCAGTGAAAGATTGGAATGGAAACACCTCTTTAATATAGATTTAACAATCCATCACCTGAATACAAAGGTTTGCAATACGATTTATAGACTAGTTTGCCAGCCTAGTTCATTAACGGAACTTAAAAGGCTTTCTAGTGAGGCTGTGATTCTTTCCACTTGGTTTAAATCCCTGTTAAGGAAGAGTGACTGTAGCTAGATGAACAGTTGGAAGCTCATAGTACTTTGAGCTGATAGGCTATGGGCTTTCGGCTGGTTTAGTTCTACATTATTCCTGGAGATTCCTAAGGCTTGGCTGCTGACTGCCTGTATTTAAGGGAGCCTAAACTTGGGTGTTTCATAAGTGAACATACAATGAGAGATTGTGCACTCTACATTTGGTAAGTAGCAACTTCATTCATGAATTTCTCAATAGCATAGTTTGGATACACTTAGCAAAGTGATGGGCTTACCAGCAATTCCTCCTTTCCAACATTGCAATGAGTATCCTGCATTAATTCCAGCTTGTTCAAAATACTGCTGGCCAAATCCTATCCATTTTACCCATCTTGCCTGCTGATCTGTATTACCTTCATCCTCAAATCAGAATTGAGTTTAAATCCTTATTATTATTCTCAGATTGTGAACTCAGCTGCTGTGGGGAATTAAACCTGCATGACAATAGCACAGTGTATCTTGTTGATATTTACTAGTTTTGTAACTCTTTTTATATTTAGTTTGTGTGAGTGTTTGTATGCAAAGAAATGATTATTTTGACACATCCACTGTTATTCTTCAGGTATAAGATGTGAATGACATCATAATTTTTGATGGCCTGTTGTTTTGAGAATTTTTGCCATTTCTGCTTCTGGGCTGCATTGTAACAGTTTACTTTTAATTATATGCAAATACTGCATGTGACAGAACTGTTAACTGACTTGCTGTAACGGAATCAATTCATAATAAAATATACAAAATAATGAATATCTTGTTAATATGCCTGTCATATTTTCATCCTATTATGTTATGCTGTCCCACTGTGACAGTTTATCACATAGTAACTGGAGCTATGCAAGATCCAAATCAGTTGCAGAGCATGTGATCCTGAATAGCAAAATTAAATGCTTGTGTATACTTATTGAGAATAACAGATGAGCCTGTTAACCACAGGCCAATCAGTTTCACATTAAAGGTGGGAAACTACTTGAGACCAATGTCAAAGATAAAATTAATTCTCAAAGGGAGAAGAATTGGTTAAGAAGGAACAGCCAGTATGAATTTGTTAAGAAGGGTTAAACAGATGTTTAGTGCCTTCTTTCACTGTAAGAGAATCAAATATCAACCTAGAAATATTTGTAATCAAGAGATGAAAGAGAGGGATGAACTTAACAGCTGCAATCACAAGGGGAATGATAGTGAGAAACTATTAGAACCAAAGGCTGACAAGGCCCATAGACCTGGTGGACTTCAGGGATCCCAATAGAGAAAGCTATTCGAAAATTCTTTTGTTCTGGAAAGGTCACATGAGATTGCAAAATAGCAAATGTTATTCAAGAAAAGAAGGAGATAACCACAGGCCACATAGCTTAACGTTTGTCATAGGGAAAGTGCACAACTATTATTCAGGAGGTTGTAGAAGAGCGTTTAGAAAACCTTAATGCAATTAGGCAGAGTGAAAATAGCTGTGTGAAAGGGAAACCATGTTTGACTAATTTATGAGATATTGTTTAAAACAATAAGTAATATGGATAAAAGAGACCTTGTAGATGTTGGGCACTTTCCAAAAGATGTTTGGTAAATTGCCACATCAGAGGTTTCCATGCTAATTAAGAGCTCATGGTGTAGGGTGGAACATAGTACATGGATAAAGGATTATTGATTAGCTGACAGGACCCAGTAAGTAGGGCTAAAAAGATCATTTTCAGATTGGCAAGTTGTAACTAGTGGTATACCACAGGGATCAGTGCTAGGGTGTAAACTATTTATCATCCACGTAAATGATTTGAATGAAGGAACCAACGACATGCTTGCTAAATGTGCTGATGAGACAAGGGTAGAACATAAAGAATCTACAAAGGGATTTAGATAGGCTGATTGAGTAGAAAAAACATTGGAAAATGGTGTATAATGCAGGAAAATGTGAACTTGTCCAGTTTGGCATGAAGAATAGAAAAGCAGCATGCTATTTAAACATGATTGTGAAAAACATAAATAAATGTGGAATTCTTTACACTGGGTGTCCCAAAACACGAGTCACAGAAAGTTAGTATGCAGTTACATCAATATTATGAGAAGAATGGGATATAAATGTAGGTTGCAATTGTATTGGGCATTAATGAGAACACTGTATGGTATTAAAAATAGTTCAGAGATGTTCCTCCAGCTCCACACTGTATTGACTCTGGGATGAAGGTGTTGTTTTATGTGGAAAGATTGGACCTGCATATCCATTGATGTTTGGATGAATGAGAAGTGATCTTATTAAAAAAAGATCCTGAGGGGAACTGACAGGCTAGATGCTGAAAAAATGTTTCGCATTGTAGGAGAAAATATAACTAGGAACTCAGTTTAAAACTAAGGATGAGTGGAGATCAGGAGATTTGGTTGGCCTACGGAATTCTCTTCTCCAGAGAGAAGTGGAGGTAGGGTCATTTTATATTCTTTTAGACAGAGTTGCATTGATTTTTGATCATCAAAATGAGTAAAATGGAGATAGTCTATCAATATGGATGGAGGATTAGCTAATTAACAGAAGACAGAGAGTTGAGATGGGAGCCATTTTATGGATGGCAACCTGTAACTAGTGGAATGCCATAGGGAGTAGCACTGGGCCACAATTATTAACTATATATATTTAATGACTTGGATGAGGAAAGTGAATGTGGATGATACAAAAATAGATGGGAAGGCAAGTAGCAAAGTTAACACAAAAATCTGCAAATGCATATAAACAGGTTAAGCACGTGAGCACAAACTTTGAAGATGGAGATAATGTTGGAAAATGTAAGGTTATGTATTTTGGCAGGAGGAGCTGAATGTTACGTAAATGGAGAGAGACTGTCGAAAGCTACTGAACAAAGAAATTTGGAAGGCCGTTTGCATGAATCACAAAAACCTAGCATCCAAGTTCAACGGGTAAACAAGGGGTCACACGTTAAAGGTGAAGATGAGGAAGAATTTCTTCAATCAGAGGGTAGTGTATCTGTGGAATTATATACTGCAAAAGGCTATCACAGGTGGGTTGTGAAGTATTTTCAAGGCTGAGATAGTCAGAGTTTTAATTAATAAGGGAATTGAGGGCTATGGGGAAATGTCAGGGAAGTGGAGTTGAAGATTATTGGATGGTGAAGCGGACCCAATGGGCTGACTGTCCTACTTCTGCTCCAGTCTTATGGGTATAATGGTTTGATAGGAAAGTGGAGACTATAATTGGATCAACCATGATGTTTGCAAATGGTGGAGTAGGCACGAGAGGCCAGATGTTTGTATGTGCATTCAGTGTCCCTTTGTTAAGGAAAAACTGTGCCTGTCTAACCTGATTTGAGTTCTTCGATGAAGTAACAGGGTAGGTGGATGGAGAAAGTACACGAAACGTCTGTATAAAATTTCAAAACACATGATAAAGTTCAGTATAACAGACCTATTTGTAAAATAAGTGCATATGCTATTACAAGGAAAGTGTTAATTGAATGTATAATTGGTGTGCGTATTTTTAATATGGTAAAGTCCCACAATTCGCTATTTGCCATTTGTGATTTTGCAAATCCACCTATAACATTGTGGGTCCAAAGTTTGATTATCTGCAGTTTTTGATGGAAAAAATCTAAAAGAAAATGTCAAAAAATTAAAAAGCACTTAAATTAGAATTTAAAAAGTCTTGAGATCCAGAATGTGACCATGACATACTGTACTTTATTTCCTGGCCTAGAAGGTGTGGGCTGTGCATGTATCATTTGCAATGTAGCTCACTGGAGTGTTTGTTTTTTGGCATTCATTGTTATGATCATTTTATTCTGCTGGAGAACCTTGTACTCAGGGCAGGTGTGACAAACTTTTTATGTTTTTCATTTTGTTACAACAATTTTTCCAGTTGGATATCTCTCGATGTATTAAGAAGATCGTTTTGATTACTTTTTATCTTCTGCTGTGTATTGTAATTATCAAACTTTTGGAGGGTTGAAATCGTCTGTTTGACTGCCCTTAAAAAATATGTTTGTCATTGGCAAGGCTATCCAAGAATGTAATTTTCATGAATGGTG